ATTATCTGCATATCTCAGTTCAATTTCGACAAGAATATCAGGCAAAGTAGAAGAAACCACCCCGTTTATGTTTCGCTTTGTTTTGTTTTGATCCTGTAATCGATACATAATTGGAGTGATTCTAACCCACCTCAGGTCAAGAATCTGTGAGGCATGGGACTGAAGTACTAAATTAAACTTACCTTAAAACCAAAACTAATCTTTAAACCAAAAGGCGTAATAGTGATTTAATACAGGATGAAAAACAGTGAATTTTTAAGATTATAGGTGGACTGTGTTAGCAGTTTGGAACAGGATGTCTGTATTGAATGCTGAACCCCAGTTCAGCATGACAATATTATGTTTTTCTCCTTTGCTGACTAAATTAAATAACTGGTGGTTTGTTAACTTTATTTACCATATGGGTTGGTTGGTTTTTATTAATAATTATTTAGGGTACCATAAGAACGATAAGTATAAAAGATATTCTGTTTCTATCTGTAATGCATTTTATAATCATTTCTATGAAATGTATTTTGTTTAATCAGATAAGCTAATAAGTAAATTGGTTACATCGTTTGTATTTGTTAGCCCACTGGACAACACCTGTGCCTGGTGCACCACTGGCTTTTAATAAATACTAATTGGTTAAAATACCCTGCTAACACTGTTTTGTCAGTTTGTAAATTCTTTTAACTAGGATTTACTATGCTTTTTAACTCTTTTTCTACCTCCTATCTACTACTTCAACTCACTTCATACTTCCTTCCCCTCAAGTATTCATGTCAGAACTCAAAGACGATTTAAGTTCTTGAGTTACAGTGGTATAAACTTTGAAAACTTCAAAATCAGGAAATCAATGCTTGATTCCTGGGTCCACATTTTTTGAGTTGTGGGGCCTTAGGCAAAATATTTGGCCATTTCCCCCCAATTTTATGGAGGAGGCTGAAAGTGCCAGTGAAAGTGTCAGTGTGAGGATTAAATGTGATAAAGTCACATTATCATAGCCTTGTCAGGCAGGTAATATACTATTATAACAGGTACCATATTCATTATTTTTTTTTTTCTTTAAAGATGACAGGTAAGGGGATCTTAACCCTTGACTTGGTGTTGTCAGCACCACGCTCAGCCAGTGAGCACACCAGCCATCCCTATATGGGATCCGAACCCGTGGCCTTGGTGTTATCAGCACCGCACTCTCCTGTGGGAGTGAGCCACAGGCCAGCCCCATATTCATTATTTTTACAAATATTTTCACATCTGATATTCCAGTTTTATAAAAGTTCAATGTCAATGCTTTATATTCAGAACCCATTAGAGATTTAAGAGTGGGTCAGCCACCCTTGGAGGACAGTTTTACAACTGTATGAATAGCCTTAGAAAGGTTCAAATTTCACTGAGTTAGCAATCTGCCCTCTAGGAATTTATCCTGTAGCAATAAGATGTAGTCAAAGTTTTATATACAGGAATAATCTTTGGGGGCTTCTGACAGAAAAGCAATAAAAAGTATAAATATTCAATAGCAGAACAGTTAAATGATGTAGTTATTTAGAATTGTATCTCAAAGACAGGCATAGAAAATATAATTAAAAATTGCATTAAAAGGGCAGGCATAAAACTGTGGTATGATTCCAGTTTTATAAAGAAAATCCTACATATGTTTGTGTGTGTACATACATATCTCAAAGACAGGCATAGAAAATATAATTAAAAATTGCATTAAAAGGGCAGGCATAAAACTATGTGGTATGATTCCAGTTTTATAAAGAAAATCCTACATATGTTTGTGTGTGTACATACATACATACATACATACATACACATGAAAGCACACACACACTTTGACCTTTTCTGTATTCTACAGATTTTGTATAATGAGCAGTCATTACCTTTTTCTTAATCACATAAGTTAATTAAAAGATTGGGTGGCTGTCAGCAGGACTCAGATCTCACACCTGCCAGCCCGACAGCACAGCTGCTGGTTCTGCACCTGGAACTTTACTTCCCAACAACCACTGCAGTTGGCTTGTCCAAAGTAAGAGAAATCATTTCTAGGTTCAGTTATGTTCTTGTTTTGGGGAGGCTGCTGCTGTTTGTTTAGTTTTACACTACCAGCTCCCCAGTCAAAATCTGGTGCAGGTGAATCTGAAGGTGAAGCCCAGGTCAGGTGCCTGCATATTAATTACAAAGCATGGGAAAGTGAGCATCTGGGGCTTTTCAGCCTCTACCACCTTGATACAAATGTAGGGAATTCTCATAACATAGAAAGGGGTTTCAGATGCTAAGTGGCTAAAATAATGGCAAATGTCCACCATATACCTTGCCCTCAAAAATTTGGGTATTACCTTTCCAGAATCAGAAAAAATAATAATAAAAAGACTATCAGTTGTAATGCTATTTCTGTGCATTCTAACATTTTAATCAATGATTCAACATATACTATTTTGGTGAATAGAAATTACCAATCTTCCATAAACTGGAAATACGATTATAATTGTTGACCTCTCAAGCTTTGTGAACACTGCAGATGCCTTCCTACATATACTCACAATACTGTAAGGTATTTCCCAGGTTTTCATTTATGCAATTCTTTGAAACCATCGCAGACACATTTTTAAGATGTTTTTTCTTGCCTTTTACAACTCATAAATTCATGGAGTCAAACCAAAAAAATTCTGACTTAAATATGAATTGTTTTCCATGCTGTTTTGATTTAGGTATCCTAACAATGGTGAAATTCAGATGATGGTTCCTTGTTTATCTTTTTGTTACTGGTGATCCAAAGGACGTGGACACTAACATGTCATACATAGCCCAGGTGATTTCGCTCTCAAGCATTTTTTTAAAAGACAAAATTCTACACATCAGATAGTTATACTGTCATTTGGGGTCATCCACTGTCAAAGGAGCCCAGTGATGTAATATTCTTTTCATGAACTTCTTTTAAGTCTGTCTGCTAATGATGATGATGGTACCATATTCTTGCCTTAAGAAAATAAACAAATAAAA